TCTACACAGAATGAAGAGATACTCAGTTAAGTGGTAACAAGAAATGTCCTAGAGCCCTTAACAGGTCATTCGCTTGCTTTCTGTTCCACAGTATCACTTCAGAGATGAGTAAAATAATCTTGTATTGTAGGGCTGTGTGCTCTTCTTGGCTGCTGTACTGGGTCCTGACTTCCCATTCTCAAGTGGTTGGGGGGGGGGAGGGGGGAAATCACAACATTTGCTTTCAATTTTGCTGTTGTCACACTGCTGTAGAATTCACTGTTCTCACACTTGAGGACTTCTAAGGATCAACCAACTGAATCAAGAACATGAGCTAAAACAGTTTTTAATGAGTTTTTTTCAAATTGAAGTCTGGTGCGTTATTTTCCTTATATTTAACCATCGTGGTACTTATCTTCCTGGGTGGTCATGTTATCCCTCTGAAATTTGCTGCTGTAGAAGTGGATGAAGCCTAAATGATATTTCTCACCTAGCCCTTCTTTAAATGTGGTTTTCCCCCAAACATTAATGCTTCCACTATTCTTTCATTTTCCATTAAAAATGATATAAACTATTTAATAGTTGGATCTTATCTTCTTTGGCAGAACTTACAACAAATGTGCATTTCATCTACATGGTTTCAAGCATTATCAGCACTATTTATTCAGGTTTGCAGAGAATATGTGAAAGTGGGCAGGCTCACTAGAGAATGAAAGCATGACACTAATAAGCGTTGCACATCAAAAAGGAAAATGTCCATCTGTGGCCTACTCCAGAGTGGTCGCAATACAGTTGACTTGGGCTGCAGTTTGGTGGCTGATGGAGCCAGGCTTGTGGCTGGCTGCCACCAAAGGAGGGAGGTTTCCTTCCTCTCTTTGCTCACCCAACCTTTTCCGAGGCCAGCTCTGCTCAGTAATAAAGCTGGGCAGAAAGGGGTTACTGTTCTTCAAGTTTTAAGTTGCACCTTTCAAGAACTAAGCTAATAAAGACCACTAATAGAAATTAAGGGGATGTGTGTCCAACTCCATGACCTGTGGGAGGCAGGAGCAAAGGGCCTTTGACTTTCTTGCAGGCTGGTACATCTCCTTACTCGATCAGTTTAAACCTCTGTGGTAGTGAAATCCCACACCAGAATTTGAGACTTTAAAAGTTTATAAGATGGGTACAATAACACAGAATAAGAGGAAAGAATATACCCCATTTCCTCCTTCACTCCTCAGGCTACACAAATCTCAAGCTCCGTATACTGTGATTTGCAGAGCAAGCTAAAGGTGTATATGAAACGGGGGTGGATAACTAGTCCTGGCTCTGTGGATGATAAGCAATTGGTGGTTATTATTACCCATTTGAATATGGATTGATTTCTGAACAGCTTATGCAATGCATAGGTTTTAGGCTGTGTATATGTAGGCTTAGTTTGTGGGTTTTTTTCCCCCCTACCTTCTTTCACAGCATAAATGTTTTTTTTGCAAAGCCTCAGAAGTCTAAACTTCAGCTATTTCGAGTACATGTTTATGACTTGCTGATTATTTGTCCCTGTGCCTTTTCTAAAATCTGATGGGGGAAACCCTGATTTTAGTTATTTTACAACTTTGTTGACAGTTTGTGCTGTAACAGCTATGATATGATTGGGTTTGTGCCAAGTTGGGAAGTTCTGAGTGGAAACTTGTAGCCTTCTGTTTATAAAAGGCTTGGATTTCTTTCTTACACACATGCTCTTCTTCTGTGAGGGGAAGGATTCTCAGTGATTCATAAAAATTCATAAGCTTTGCTTTGAAAGCTGATGACATTTGATGGATGAAATATTGGGAATCAAAAGAAAATAAGGATCCTGGGAGAAGATTGAGCCACAGTATCAGTGGGGGACTTCTCAGCCATGACTGTAGCACAACACGTGGTAACATGTTTGTCTTCCCCTTATGTTCCCTCTGTTCAGTCTTCAATAAATCCATTCCTAGAGGCTAGAAAGAAAAATGGCCTTTCAAACCTGAAAGTGAGAATTGCCAATTCCATGCATTTCTTCAGTGACAATTTACCCTAATACTTCTGTCCTTATTTCTTATTTATCAAAATCTGTTGTATCTGTTCTGTAATATGCTGTATGTTAAGAGAATTTCCTAATGCAGAACTGAAGAAAGGCAGTAGGGATTTTCTCTCCTCTGTTTTTCAGTGAAAATGATACTAAGCGCTATTTTGGTTACGAAGCCAACCTCTTAGTGAAATACGCTATTATTTAATCATCATTATGTTTAGTATATAAATGGACTGTTTTTATTGGACAATGCATATATATAAACACATAAAGTTATACACACAGCCCCATGTATATTTCATCTGGTAGATTCCAATGCCTGCAACTTACTGAGAGCAAACTGACTTTTTACTTCTCAAGAGCTGCCTTCCAAGCTTCCACTGATCCAAGTATCTAAATGGCTTTACAGAGAATATAAGGAGGAGTATGTGTCCCTGGCAGGGGGGTTGGAACTAGATGATCTTTAAGAACCCTTCCACACAAACCAATCTATGATTCTATGTGATCTCAGTCCCATTTGGAGTGCACAGGTATCTGCATCATAACAGACACTGATGTCTGCAGTACTTGTTTCCAAACCTCATCTAAAATTGAGCAAATGGATTTGATCATTCCACATCAGAGAGGAAAGCACTATGAAGATGGTGCATTCAGAAAGATAAAGCCATGTCATGACTAGGGTTTTTAATGCACTCTTAAGTGTGTGGACAGACATTTCATAGATGGTTTTTCAAATTCCCAGGTAAAAGTGAATTCCGTTCAACATGCAGTACTTCTAATGAGGAAGTGTGCTGTCTCTTCCCTGTCCTGCTCCAGTCCCCCTGGAAATTTCATTAGGAAGTAAGATTAAAATCTTGCAAGTGTGTGGGGAAAAACCATGCTCGGTACTTTGTAAGGAATTAATGGCTCTTGATTTTTCACAATATAAAACACGTTTTGCTTCCCAGCAAAATCCTGTTGTGTCTGTTTGGAAAAAGGAACAATTGTGTTTATAAAATGACATCTCCTAAATTGAATATTCCATTTATCCTTTTTCACCACTGTTGGCGTTTCTGAGCGTTCTGTTGTTGTTGTTTGAACAAGTGGTTCTTATTTGGGGTATTTTGGTAAGAATTAGAAAGAAGAGAGCGGAGTGCTGAGCTGGAAGTTGCAGTTCAGGGCTGCTGGGTTTATTACAGATGCCTGTGCAGTGACAGCCCCGAGCGTGCGTGTGTGTGTGTGTGTGTGTGTGCGTGTGCGTTTTTAAATAAAAAGGAAAGCAGAGGTTTGCTCATTTGTTTGCCTATTGTGAAGCTGTCCTGCACCTTTATACTCCTTTGTACTGGGGTGAAGGCTGCTGAATGGGGGCCTTGTTCCATTTGTTGATTTTAAACCTCACTGTTAATCCACAGGAACCTGCTGGTGTGCGCAGCAGGAGAGCTGTGTGACAAGTGGAAATCTGGGCGGGGGGGAGCGCGGGGGGTCACAGGGGATAATAATCATTCAGCCATCAGCCTTTGTCACCCTTAAGCCTAATTGTTACCCTCTGCTGGTAACCACATTGAAATGCTGGCCTTTTAAGTGTTTCTTGATTTTACTTGGCACAGGCTTAGGGATAAGATCGTTTATTGCTGGGTTTACATCGTATCAGGTTTGCTGGGGTTTGTTTTATTAGCCGCATTGAATTTTCTGCATCCCTTAAAATAATTCAGGAGAGTCCAAAGCGATGGAAGGGGCTGGGTGGAAACAGTATGGTTGTTAAACAAATTTCCCTCTGTCAGGAGCTGGGATAAAAGGAGAGACAGAAAGCTTTCCTGCTCTGCAAGCCAGCTCCCTCACGGAGTCTGTGCGTGAGCAGGAAGTGTCGATCTGGACACTGAGCTGTCTGAGCAGCCCTTGGTAAAGCAGAACAAGGCAATGTTCAGGCTGCAGTGGGGTGGGCAGGGGTTGCTTTCCCTGCCCTGTCGTTGCACCAGGAGAGTGTGTGCTTCCAGCTGCGTGTCAAAACTGAAGCTGTGAGGGTGGCCGAAGCAGACTGAACTGGGAGTAAACTTGGGAGGGGGAGAGGAGAATGAAACTGTTTAAAAACAACAGAGAAAAACTTTTTAAGGTGAGATACCTTTTCCAGCAGTCAGGAACTGGTTCTTCAACTTCCCCTGCCAGTTACACATACTGAAGTCAGTATTGTGCTTTCTGTTGTTTTCCTTGAAGAAGTTAGTGTAGAAGCTGCTGTAGTAGCTAAAATGAAGCCTGAATTTAAGGCTTTGCGATGGGGAAGTATCTATCTGTGTGAAGTAAGCTTTTATTGTAGGATGGCATGGGGGGGTTGTTTAGTTGCTCTCCCCACCCCTGTGGTGCGTATCGTGTTAGGCCATTACCTATGACTGCTTGGGCTTCTTGCTATAGGGAGGGAGGTAAGTCACCTTACCACAAAGCTGGTGCTGGCTTTGGATCTACACCTCTCTTCTAATCTGTCAGGTACAATGTGCCTCCAGCAGATGCAGCAACTGCGTTGTGTGCTATGACCTGATAGCTAGTGTTTGAAAGTTGTGTCAGTAGTAGTGATGATAAATCTAGGGTTGTTACAGGAGTCTGATTACACAGCGTGATTACAATCTTATTTTCAAGTCTGGTCTTCCACCTGGCTCAGTACTTCCATCAAAACGCTTGAGAATACATCTCAGTAGGATGAATGTATTGACCACTTAGTGCATGCTACTCTTTTACAGTAAAAGGGGTCATTTATTTACCAGGCTTGGTTTTGTGTGTTTCCCCATCTTCCAGTGATACGGTTCCATGTTTGTTGGCATGTTTCTCAGCTCTCTGCATTTCTTTACAAACAGTGCAGGTCATAATGGAAGCTGTGTGGGTTTGATAATTCCATCAAAACTGTTTAATAAAAACTCCTGATCAGAAAAAACCCAGCTGTTGTGTTTTCACCCTTCTGTGATGTGGATTTAATTGTAATTACTGAGTCAGGTTAATAATTCTGTTACAACTGTTGTTTCAGGACATGTCTCAGGAAGGCTATGGAACCAGATCTCAACCCCCTATGGCCCCAGGAAAGCCCAACCATGAAGACTTGAATCTAATCCAGCAAGAAAGACCATCGAGCTTACCAGTAAGAAACTAATGCTTGTTTCAGTATTTTAAAATGAAAGCACTTTACATAGCATTTCATTGCATCTAGGATGAGCAGATAATGAATACTGAAAGAAGAAATATTGAACAACGTTGATCAAAACCTGTTTTTAAACATATGATGAGAACAGACAACTTGTATATGAGTGGACCTTGCTTTGGCTTGTTCTGGTTCAAAATAGCACTATTTGTGTACATGCATGTTTTGTGCTTGTGCACATGTGTATTTGCATAGAGGAAATGGATTGACTTTTAGTTTTAGGAATTCTGTACTTGCACAAAACAATATGGTGAGGAAGAGACTTTTTTTCTGTGCCCTTTTCAAAGGGTTTCAGTAGATTCTGGTTTAAAATACTGCTGCTAGGAGTTACTTGCTCCAAACCCTGAGCATCATTAATGAGTTTGACATGTTAATTCTGCTACTGTCTATTACTGCAGAAGTGTAGAAGTGATACTTGGGCTAGGTTGATCTTTTGGTTAGAAAACTATTTTGGACTAACATTTCTTAGTTTTTATGAGCTCTCTGCATTGTGCTGAGGGCGAAACAGCAGAAATTAATATACTTTGCAAAGACACTGCAGCTACTTGCATTTCACTATAATGGACAAAGTACTTCTTAGCCTTGTGTCTGTCTGCCCCTCATGGTTTGGGGATTTTCTTGTTTGTTGGTAGTAATCCAGCATGAATTTAAACCAACTGGAATATGCTCAGTGTAAATGATGAACATTTTTTATAAACTGTGTGACTTCTGGCTTAGAATAATGTATCACAGCCATATAGAATATTTTCCGCGGTTCATTATGTATGTATTCATCTGCAGCTAGCAGAGAGATCTCTATGAAGAGTTTACCTTACCAAGACACTAACAGATCTGGTAGTGTGGCGCATAGCACGATTGTCAATCCCTAAAAATAGGGCAGTAAACATCTGCATAGCATTTTAAAGTTATTTCTTTGGCACGTAGGAGAGTATATGTGCCATAAGTTCTTTACATGACGTTTGAGGCATGCATGTTGCAGGAGACGCTATGGAAACTGGTGCGAGAAGAGACACCCATTTGCTGTGAACCTTGTATTAATTTGACAGTTTTTCAGGAAACCTTTTTTAGAAATACTGATTTCTCTGAACGGGTCTCAAAAATGTACGTTGGCAGTTACCTTAAAAATAGTACCTACTGTGGACATTGAACTGTTTTGGCAACAACTACCTACTTTAAAAAGCAGTGACATTAGAAGGGACGTTTTACCTCCCCCAGCTTTTCATGAACAGTGTTCATTAGGGTAGAGAGAAGTGAATTTATTTATCAACTAATGTTCTACTAATTTGCCCGTGGTTTTTCTTAAACAGTTGTCCTATTTTTAATCCATGCGCTGTCCTACCTCCATCATCATGATATCTAAGCAGAGTATTGGGTATTATCTGTGTCCCTGAGTGTTTGGTATATTTAGTAGCTCATTATTATTATAGGAATGAGTAAGCTGGTAGTATTAACAGTGAATGTTAACTATTTTGGCCACACATCTTAAACTCCAGGTTAGTCCCAAATGATGTTGTTGAGACATCTCATCACTGAAAAGCTTTGATACATAACCAGAAAGCATGTCTTGTACTCAAAACCCCTGCTGTTTGGATATGGAAGGGAATGGGAGGTATTAACCATTTTGTATTTTGTTTTGGTTTTGGGTGTTTTGTATTTTTTAATGTTTGTTGTTTGGTTGGTTTTTGGCTTGTTTTTCAAATTTAAAAACAACTGCAATCTTTGTATGTGGCAACAAGACTTTTTTTGATAGTGTGATCAAACTTGCCGTCATCTTACATCCAAGGAAAATGTCGTAGAAATTGGGAGCAATCCATGTATTCAAAGTATGGTGAACATGGTAAATGCTTTAATATAACTCTGAGGTATGGATGGGTTGACCATATGAACATGGTGTTTTTTCCCTGGAGCAAGAGTTCTGTATTCAGATTTGAACTGCTACAAAACCCTGTGATCACTATCCCTTGTTTAGTATTCCTAATTATAGTGTCATTTTGGGATACTAAATATGGCTTCTTAAGTTTGTTCTCAAGGTAATGCTGTTCTTCAGGCTAGTAGTCAGTAAATCATTTTTGTACAGTGAATCTTGAAATGATAGTGGTGTTAAGCTTTTAATAAAATTTAGTTATGTTTTGTTTCATGGTATTCTGGTATTTATACAATATGCCCGTTATCTTTTTATTTCTTAAGGGCATTGTGTAAAATCACAGCAGCTACATAGCAAGCTTACACAAGTGTCTAAAACAACAAAAGAGATGTAATACTAAATGGTGAATGGTGTTCTCTGATGTGGCTTTGAAAAGCGTTTTCCTTTGATGGATTTGAAGAGGAGCTGGCCACTTTCTGCAGCACTGAATGCTGGCTTGTGTCATCCTTTGGGGGACTTTTTTCAGCAGGTTTGTGTCACAGTAAGCACAGCTAAACAGCTCAATAGTTGTTCCATTTCCTTCACACATTGTATTTAAAAGTCCTGGCATGAATGTTCCCATAAAGTTCAAAGCGGACAAATTTGTAATGTGGGTTGGTAACAAATGGCTACAAACAAAATATGGCTTTATTAGCTACTTCTAATGGCCTGTCAGATTCTCTACAATGCTTGCTTTCCTTCTCCTAACTGTTCTGATATCTGGAGGGTTTGACCTGTGGGTCTCTGACCATGTGGAGTCACTGAGAGCCCAAATGAAAACTTGCACAGAATAGTGCTCCGAGCACTTTTGTTGGGGTCACAATTAGAAGGAAATCTCAAGCTTTTGAGAAAACACAGGAGTTAGGTACTCTGTGAGGAAAGGAAGTCATAAACAGAAACTGTTCCCTATTAGAGTGGAGGAATAAGGGGGGGAGACGCTTGAATGAAATTGTCTGGAGAACAGCTACTACAGAACGTATTTATTGAGACTTAAGGGATAATAGCAAAATACACATTTCTGCTATTGTGAGAAAGCTAGAGCACACTTACAGGAAAAAGCTTCCAAATGGTATATCTGCAGATTTGTTGTTGCAGTAAAGGAGCTTGTGTCAGCAGTAGGCTGTGTGTGTCTGTGAAGATTAATGCTTTATTTTGTATTTAATGAGTAATCTTGTAAATGTTGGATTTTCGTTCACGTTGGATTGTGTTGATAGAATGAAGAGCAGAAAACATCAATTAATTTTTTTTTTTATTGGCATGAGGGTGAAAGTCATTTTAGACGGGCAGTGGTGTTTTTGCTATTACTTTGTTTTAATAAGGTCCTTTTTTGCCCAGTGTCAGGTTTGCTTGTTGTCAAATGGCCTACCCGAGGTTACCATGCTTTTGAAACACAGATTTCTGCTAACTTTTCGTGTTGCAACCTACAGGTGAAGTTATGTGGCTGCTTGAGCTGTTGTAAGCCAGGGCAGTTGCAGTCCTGCCATGTGCCCCACAGCGTACCAGCTGTGCTGTCTCATGTCTTCTGCTGTCATTCCTGGGACCAGCCAGTGCATTTGACTTAGGGAGCTGAACCAGCTGAGAAATAATCACTCTATTTCTGGGTTAGTTTTTGACTGAATCACTGTGTAATTGCATGGGTACCACTGGTACCTCAGACAAGGAGATGGGAATCAGAAGCTGTGATGGGAAAGGAGACAGTAGGGACTGCAGCAGCTTTGATTTTAGCCACATTCCGAAAGACTGTATGATCTTCCTGGAATGGTTTAAGATGCTGTCATCCTGTCAACTGAGACACAATGGCACAGCAGATCCCAGTGTTCACAGTTGGGCCCTGCAGCAGTCACAGAGCCACAAACAGACACAAGACAGTTCTCTTATTTTTGTAAGGTAAGTTTTCTGCCAGTTTACATCTCTGAGCTGTTTAATTCAGTCAGTGAGTGCAAGCCCAAAGGCATAAAGTGTGCAAGGCTGGAGGCCACGGGGAAGGTGGGCTTGTGGCAGTCCTCAGCTGCATCAGTGTAAACTGTAAGGATATCATGGCCTTAGTCTTATAACTTAGCTCAGGTTCATCTTGTGTTTACTGGAGGTCATGAACAGTGTTGAAGGGGGAAGGTGGTATCTGGCGTTGAAGGAATCGCTGCTTTACCTGGTCACTCGGAATTCTAAGTTCATGGTTTAGTTCTGTGATATCACTTATTCACTGTGTCTTCTCGTGGAGACAGAGCAGGTTCTGTGGAAAATAAAATAGTAGCCAGCGGTGGATGTAGAATGCCACTGGTATCTTGTGCAATGCCGTGACCTGAGAAGTTTGTAGTACTACAATGTCTGTAGTTGCATGAGCTTCACTGTCACGCAGATCTCAAATACTGCATATTGTTGCTTGGGCAGAGAAACTTTTAAAGATGCCAGTTGCCTTGTTCCATTATGCTTAGTCTTGTGGAAAACAGTACATCAGCAGTCCCTTCCTGATTTTATTAACTGCTTCACTGTTCTGTTTTACCTCATTTTAATGAGCCTCTAAAGGATGTTTCGAGTACTTCGCAGTCATTCCTCTGGTCGACACACCTTTTTCTTTGGAGGAGGAGGATACTAAATTAGATTTCATAGGATCTCTGTTGAGAACTAGTAGTGAACTAAATGCAAGATTACTTGGCTCATGGAACAGCATCCTTTTAGATGGATTTTGATAGGTGCAGGCTGTAAGGAAAATACATGGGATGATTGGGAATGCACATTCCCTGTCTCACTTCTAAAACATGAAGTAGCTTGGAAAGTCATCTTGAGCAACAGCACTCCCTGAACGAATGCCTTTGATGGCTGAAGTCTTAATAGACCAGGAAAACAGCTTCCAGCAGTATTTGAGAAACTGGTTGACAGTTAGCAGGAGATACCTCTTTTCTTAGTGGTTAAACTGCTGGGATGAAGGACTCTGGTGACATTTATACAGAGCTTAGTCCAGTAAGCCCTAATCATGATCAGGGTTGTGGTCAGCACCAGAGTGTAAATACTAATCACCACTGTTGCCCCACTGGTAAGG